TGGGATACAATAGAATGGTCACCAGGACAACTAGCCGATTGATCAGCCGTGACAATATCACTTATGACTGAGTCAAAGTCAGCAAGAGTGTGAATCTCAAAAATGTTTTCAATGATTCCACTAAAAGATGTTACCAGCTTATTGTGATGAAAGTTTATATGTGAAAAGTTGGCCCAAACAAAATTCAAGTCATCTAAACACAATTTCATTTAGTCAACACAGAAACAGAGCTATATGCATAGCTGAAAGACCTGTTGCTCTCTATTGTTAATGGGTCCATGTCTCAAACAACTCCGTCGATTGAGGTATATATGTAACAAATGTTTAAAGCTAAATTCTACATAGTCTCTACTTGAGAAAAATTCCCATTTTGTTAAATTAGAGACCTGAGTAACTGAACACTACTTTAAATAGGTGGCAATTTTATTATGTTATTCCAAAAAATAAAGCAAAATTAATTTCATGTATAGCAAGGGTTATTCCAAAAAAAGTTCATTTGGACTAAAATAAAGCTTTACTTTAGTTTAAAGGTGGCCAATCCATAAACAGAAGGTTTATTAATAAATCAAAGCAACAGGTCTGCAGTAAATCCAGCAGGTTGCTAACTAGAAAAAGAAATACAAAGTGACAGATTTCTAGGGAAAAGATCTTTGACCAAAAGAGAGTGTAGTCAAAAGATGGGCAACAATACCACCCTGCATAGTTGGAGATATACAAATCTTGCCTGGGGTCCCAGAAGGAAGTAAAAAGTGTCTTAAAAATTGCCCTGTTAATAGTTAAGGACCAAATCCTCCTGCAAAACTCCCACTGATATCCATAAGGATTTGCCGGAGTGACGACAGAAGGATTGGGCCCTAAGAATTGTCTCAAGCCAATGCAAGGTCCGTTGTTACTGGAATGAACTCTAACTCTCACGGACGCAGTATCACACGAAAGACCCCTCTGAAGGATAAAGAACAACCTTAGGACATTTCAGGGTATTTCAAAGCCTCTTCTAAACTACAGAGAGCAAATTAATACCAAATTTGAACACACAGGGCCAAATCTTCTTCCCCTTATTCATGCAAGTAGCCCCACTGCATCGTAAGGTGAACAGGATTATGGATACAACCTCTTCCCATTTTACCTTCACTTTTAGTAGTAATACTTGTTTTTCTTCCCTTTCTTTTCCCATAGGTTAAATAAAGAGATCAGACCTTCCCTTGTTCTGAGAGTTGGGTTTCTGTAAAACAGCCTATATTATCAAGTGATTTTTATTTGGTTCTCTTTATTTGGTTCTTTATAAGAGTTAAAAAAATCTACTTTTGTTCCCAAATCTTAAATCTCTAGAATAAACAGCATCCAATATTCAGTAGTCCAAGGCAAAGCTTATTGTCCTTCCAAGTAGACCAAGTTACTTCCAACCTCATGTCAAGAATATCAAGAAATTTCTTTGTCTTTAGAAAGAAATCTCTTCATCACATAAAATATTATCTGACCTCTCATAATTGTCCAATTAAAGTTACAATAAATAGACAATTTCAGTTTGTTCAATTCAAATATTTAGTATTTCTATTTCCTATCCCATGGTAAATGCGTACATGAAAACATTTAAGTTTTGGAAGTTTGATGGTCTAGACATAAAGACAGCAGAAACATTACAAATTCTATGGACAGTAATAGACACTAATTCTTTACAAACCATGCATGAACAAAGCCGAGACATTATCCTTTTCTTATCAATAGTTAAAGATCACTTAGTCAATTAACAGGAAAATAAGAGACTTCTTACCATTATCTGTAGAGTAAAATCAGGAATTAGTTGTTTTGTTCAATCAACAAGTCAACTTTTCTCTCCTAGTGACTTTTTTTGTTTTTAAAGCTCCGTTTGCCAGTGATAGCCAGGGAAGAGGTGTCACTGTGTATTTCTATATGTTTGTATTTAAGACCATCAGAATCTTATTTTATTGAACCAATAGAAGACAGATCTCGTACTTTACTATCACGGTTCCAACCAAGAGCTAACCCCCAGGTAGTTCTATTTGCCTCTAACACTTTCTTTTTGTAATGAGACTAATTTTTCCAGTAGCCTTTAACCAACTAGATTAACTGACATGGAAAATGTGACTAAAAACTTGTAGAACTGTCTAGCCTCCAACCCAGCACAAAATCAACTTTGTAGTAAGTGCTGAAGGACATCTAGCAAGCAGCAACTTGCTCAGTTTATAATCCTGAACTATATATTCACAGAGAACTGTACTACGCCATCTAGTTAGCTGACAGCAGGCTTCACTTTCTACATTAGAAGTGTATACCTTAAAATACAGGGCTTTGGCACTTGAGAATTTTCAGTTTCTTTAAATAAATATCACTACTGGGCTAATCCACATCCAGTGGATATGGGAAAATTTAGCTTATAATAGCAGAGTGACCTTCTACATCTAACTTTGATTTACAAGATAAAAGCAACTTTTAAATTAAAGAGGCTTTCTGCTAATAGAGCTTATTATTCCAGAGACAGGAATGATTTTCCTCGAAAGTTGTCCCTGTGTGCATGCCTATTATCTTCGTTTTTCTCCTTCTACTAATGAGCATTTATCTAAAGAGCCTGTTAATCCTCTGATGTGTGCTTCTGGTCAGAGGTAACAGTTTGAATAAAACCACTAATCACTTATCACTAATCACTGATCGTTAACCACACTTTTCTCTAGTGCTTTGCAACCTGCACTGCTCCCTTTAGGACTAAGGAGTAACAAATAAGAAGTTTAACATTTTAAAAGTATTTTTAACATAGTAATGCTGACTTCATCCAAAGACATTTTTCTACAGAAATTTTAAAAAAAAATTCTACCAAAGTGCATGTACTTCAGAACAAATTCCCACAAACTGTGTCAGAGTATAGATTTTCTTTCATTTTGTTCTCACCCTGTAACTCTAGAAACAATTTATTTAAAAAAAAACTTTACAGTCTGGTTTCTGGATTATTTCTACATGACAGTTTCTTAGAAGAACGTTCTTCCTCCACTGTTATTTGACACACTGTATTTTCACCAAATGACCAGGCAAAGAAACTCTGGTGCAATTCAATGGGTTAGGAGAAGAGTTATCTTTGAAATGTATGGTCTCCAGGAAAACCCAAGAACCCTATTGTCCTTTGGTCTAACCTCTGTTTTCATCTGTCTGTATATTGTTTCCTACTGATAAACTACAGAAATCCTCTGGCCATGCTGTTTTAAGTAAGTACTATTTAAGCATTTTAATTGTAAAAGACACACATATGGACATTCATTTTATTTTATTGCTATCCATGTCTTTGAACCACTTTTTTTCTGTCAGACTGTAACATTTATAATAAACCCTGGAGATGACAGATCACTCATCATGCGTGGACATAAATAAGAGAAAAGGCAGAGTTTAGCAGGTATCCCCCTTATATTTCAGAAGCTCTTATAATTCTGGAAGGACAAAACTTAGCTAAAGAGAGGGAGAGAGAAACCTAAACCAGAGGAGGGATAAAGGAGATATGCATTGAACTGGGGGGAGGAGAGGGTGTAAAAACGATGTGCTTAGCCAGTTGGATTGTAAAAGGGAGAGTTGCTTTGTCAGCATTTCTAACCCCCTGAACCCTACAGTATCTAAGGCTGTTAATCAAACACTTACTAGTCTGCAGAATGACGTAATCGCCCACTATCCAGCCTTATTCCCTGAGATATGTCAGAAGGGGTGTGGGGGGGAGACAACCAAACATAGCGATGCAGACACCTAACAACGAAATATACACACAGCCCACTCTAGCCCTGAGCCTTAACAATAGGCATCATGTGGGAACTGGAGATGAGGAAGGGGAGGGGGGTGATCAGTTTGTTGTGCAATTATCAATAAAAGTCCATATAAGAAACAACACATACACATGAACCAGCAACTTGTAAGCAGCTGAGCCTCCGGTACTTTGGACTAAGAAGCCTCTTCCAAAACTTAAATCAAAGTTGCAGCGATTGAAATCAAGTTCAGTTAAGAAGAAAGCGAAAGCTTCAAGAAGGGAGGGGGGACTTTGAGAGCAAGTCCAGCAGCCAAAGAGCTGTCATTTCAGCAGCAGTAGCAAGACAAGATGTTATGCCGAAAAGAAATAAGGCAAAGATGGGGGGGGGGCAGCATCAACCTTCCACTTTTGTGTCTAGTTTAAAAAAAATCCTCTCCCGGAAGAGCTTAAACAAGAATTACAATTTATTTGCAACAATATTTACCTACACGCTCCCTGCAGACAGCGGAGATGGCAGCAGCAGCTACATCTCATCTCAGCGGTTCTTCGACACACATGCATACACAAGCACACGGTCCCGGCAGCATACTAATGACTTTGCTAGCTCTTGTTTCAACACACACACACACACACACACAGTTTCAAAACTTTCCAACTTTTTGGTCGGTGTGTTGAATTGAGGAATCTCAAAGTTGCTCCCCTCGCTGCCTTTCCGCTCCCTCCGACTGCTTACTGCGCTTCGTGTAGCTTCAACAACTTTTCCGGTCCCCCCGCCACCCCCCGATTCCTGTTACACCCTCGCCCAGTCACTTAGAGGAGTGAGAGGGAGCGATGCACACACACACTCGTTCAAAAAGCCATCTTCATAGAAGCATCTCACTGATCAAACATCGCAGCCACTAAACCGCCTCCCGGAACGGGAGCGGGGGATCTCAAATGGTTACTATCATTACAATTAAATTGAAAAACTAACAGCCGTTTATCACAGCCCCCGGAGCAGTCCCAGGGTTAGTAACAAAAACTGTTTACTAGCCCCCCAAAACTCCCACAAAACAAAACAAACCCCTTTGCAATTCATGAGATTTCTCCCTCCTCACTTTAGATCCTTCCCCCCCCTCTGCTCCCCAGTTAATTCACACATACTCCCCGTCCCTAGATCAGTCCCATGCACACAAGTACTTTAAAGCGTCCAGAAAGCGAGGGTTTAAATGCACTGAAAAGTGAGTTTCATAAAGTCAGATCAGTATTTAGAGGAACTTACCAAACAAGTGTAGAAGGGAAAGGACCAGCAGCTTGGGTGAAGGAACCACGTTGGACTGAGAGAAGGTTACAATACGTTCTATTTAGAGAAGCATTACATCACCCTCGGTGACGTCACGTGGGATTCCTGAACTTCTAAATCATTGCGGTCCCTGTTCAGGGGGAGAGTGGAGTGGTGGGCGTGTCCGGGGGGCGTGTCCTCCCCAGGCTCCGCCCCCGCCAGTAAGCCACAGTACACGGGGCGGATGGAGGGGGAGGCGAGTGCAAAGCAGGAACAGCGCAAGCAACAGCTTGCAGAGCTGGATGTGACAGGACTGACATTAGGCGTGTGTGAGTCAGCTTGGAAAAAATCTCCTGCTTTATGGATTTCGGGAGGAAGCAGGGACGAATCCAAAGAGGCGGGTTCCCTAGGCTGTATTGATTTGCAGGGGCTGGGCACGGACTGTTTCCCGAACTGGATGGGTTGGTCTCCATTCAACTAAGTGTGGCACAGGACAAGACCCGTTCCAGTCTGCTGAATAAACTCCGGCATTGCTAGTGTACTGTGTATAGGCTGATGGACCCAAACGAAACAAACACCGAACCTCCTTTTGGAATTAATCCCTCTTGTGTTTCAAAGAGCTCTCGCTCTCTAAAGAGTTGAGCTAACCCCCTAAATCTGAACGCCCCACTACTTTTGGGGGGGGATGGTGATTACTAGGGGGATTTTAGTTCCCACATCCAATTAATTCATCTCTAGGTTGTATTGATCCATGTAACTACTTTTCTTACAAAGGAGTTTTATAATAGGACTTTTATTAATATATAGTTCTTCGTAGACGTGATATCGTTGGAGAGATCAGAAGTTACAGCAAGGGAGAAAAGATATTTTGAGTCTTGCACATGCAGCATTAAAGGGACACTGGCAGGAAGAAAAAAAAGTGCATTACCTTCCCTATCTTACAGCTACCATACTACCATACAGACCACCACCAATGACTCCAGCATGCTTTGGGTCAGGCCCTTAGTGTCTGCACAGGGAAGAAGAATGACTGAAGAAAAGGAATGGGAGTCAGGAGATCGGTTCTAACCTGATTCTGTTATAGACATCCTGTGTTACCTTAGGCAAATCAGTTGAAAGTGAGTCTACAGAAAGGTTCTTAGCTGTTGTTCTGTGAGGATAGTACCTTATCTATTCACAAGGTGTTATGTATTAAGCATCAATGTGATCAGCACCATACACGATGTAAAAATACAATCTTGGCCCCAATGCTGCAAACAGTAGCATTTGTGTGATCTTTAGTCCCGGGAGCCAATTGGACTAGTCCTGGGAGTAAAGTTATACACATGCAGGACTGAGCCCCAGCACCTCTAGACTTGGCAATTCATTGCCCTGGCACCTCTTTTGGGATCACTTCATTGATCCCAAATACTAAGTATTATTCATAGTGGTTAGCATTATATCCTTCTAGTCATCTGGAGATATGATTGATTCTGCTGCCTTTTGAACATGCTAAGATCCTACCCCATCTAGTACACGGTCCTTTGAATAAGTGCCCCAGCCCAACCCTTTCCCTTGCTGGAGTTTGATTTATTAATAACTCAACAATAAAATATAAACCTCAGCCTAAACTTCCTCCACAAGCCTGGTTTCCTAGAGCAACCTAACTACCCATGTTTTAGTTTCCTGTAGCCCAAACAGACGCTCTCACCCTCTGTATATCTGGTTGGAGCTAATTGGAGGAACCTGCTATTATGAGTCAGCAATAATTACTCAGAATCTTGATGCAAGCTTTTAGCACCAGAGCCTAGGGTGATGCAACATAAATGCTCTGAATTTCCATACAACTGCTTAATAATTACTGTCCTCAACTTTTAATGAGTATTTTATTTAGGGTTTAAAGCCCATAGAAAGAAACAGAGGTCCTCATGATGGACTTTGAGTTAGTTTAGCTATTTAGGATAGGGATGAAGGAACTGCATGCAGTATAGTTTGTATTCATTTTGTCAGGTATTATTCTTGGAAATTGATAAATAAGCCTATGTTTATAAAACACCTTTCATTCTAAGTGTTCCCAATTCATATTACAAACTACAAATAGAAGAATCACTTCACTCACAATTGCAGCTACTTCTGGGGTGAAACATGGCAGTTATTTAACAGAGCACAGGAATGCTGTACAATTAAGACCATATATCAGGACCAATGTGGGGAGAGGGGAGAGACAAAGCTGTACTGTTCTTTTGTCAATCAGGAAATGCTGTGTCATCATACAATTGATATAATAAAATTCTGGGAAATGTTCTTCCATGTAACTGGACTCATGTCAAATTTTTTGGCATTTCAGTAGTGGGATAAGAGCTTCTTTCTCCAAGTTTCTCAAAGAGCCCAAAATGAAATAGCTCATTATTTGGTTACTGTCTTAGGCCCTAATCCTGTCTCCCACTGAAGTCAGTGCAACATCCTCTTCAGTGATGGCAACAGGGATGTGGATAGCCGTGGGAATGGTTTTGGTTGGATTTTGGGGGACAGAATAAAATTGTGACTAATACAATATTTATTTTGATTTTTATAATTGAAGGTGGGCTTGTTGTTGTTTGTTTGCGTTGTTTTTTAGAATTATATTTAGTGCTCAGATGATTTGCTGCTAGACTATAGCGAGTAGAATCTGGATCCCATTTTGGGTCTATACTATTTGACATTTTCTCTTTAACACTGTGTTTAAAATGCTTGATATCATAATTGCTCAAATATTTTGCATGCTGTCACCTGTGTGTCATGCAAAGGGACTTTTAATTTAGATTGTCATCTTGTTTAACTTACTGTGGCATTAAGTGGAATGCACCCGGTATGTTGTGCTCATGAATTCATTGTGCATCAAGAGTTTCATAGATTCTTTTCTATTAAATAAGGTAGATGCTGGTTATGGAAAGAGAACAGACTTAAAGAAGCAGAAATTTGATGCAAAATAGCCACATCTTTAACACCTAGGCCTAGCTTTTTCCCAGTTACCCATATCTGCAAGCTCCAACACACCACTCAAAAAACAATGATGATATATATCATCTTCCTTTGAGTCAATATGTCCCTCTCCCCTCCAAACTCTGAACCCATCCTGTAACCACCATCAGCTCTTGTTCACATCCCCCTTTGCAGTCTCCTAATCACCAGCATCTCCCTGCACTCTGGCTCCTGCAATCCTCACTCCTACCTGCATTCCAGTTCTGCTGCTTTGTCCTCCTACCCGTACAGGAGCATAGAGAATAGAAGAAGTTGTATTTTCCATGTGCTCAGTTCCTGTGCCTGGTGCTATAGCAGCACCTGGCAGCAGGGAGGAACAACTGCTGACAAAGTCCTGCTCAGTCCCTGTAGTCCCAGCTTGGAGCATGCTCAGTGCAGATGGAATCTTCAGCAAATTTAGAAACTCTACCAAGTTTACCGAGTATGGGTGAATTGCAATTTTTAGAGGCTAATAACTTGGCCAAATGGCAAAAGGCACACCCCTGACACCAGGAGGTCCATCCTGTCAAATTTCAAGTCCCTGCTCCAAACTATGGAGGTGCTAAACCTACTCAGCTAAACAGTTGTAGCATTAGTTGGTTGTTGTTGTTTTTTTAAATGAGGGCAAAACAATTTAGGTAATGTCATTCTCAGAAATGGCTGAAACATTTTAGTTGAAATTTTCCAAAGAAATTCAGCCTGAGGCAGACATCCAGCATAGAAAATTTCAGCCAAAACAGTTAACGTGAAAATAGGGCCTTATAATGGGAACTGTTGAATACCCTTAACTAAGGAGATACTACTCACTCAATCTATACTACTATACTGCTGTTCCATAAATAATAGCAGGTGTAAAACAACCCAGTCCTTTCCAGTTTTTTTCTCATAAGATTTTATTAAATGATTATATATAAATTAATTTTTTTGTCTATCCTTGAAAGTATGAAAGTATCTTTTAAAACATTTTTACATCTGTCTTGTGTTTTCCTGTGAATGGTGTTAAGATTACTTGTATTAAAGGACCAAACAATGGAGAAGGAAAGGATAGAGGTGAAAACCCCACAATCCAGAATGAGAAAGGAGTAAAAGAATAAAGAGAAGCTTAATGATAATGAAAACTAGTCTGTTTTGCAGTATGCTGAGATGAATTGGGATGACACTCAATGGTAAAGGTAAAAGACAGTAGTGCTGTTTCAGCAAACAGCCAAAATCTTAGTCATTCCAGTAAAATCAATGGTAAGTATAAAGTAAGGGTATTACAATAATTATACGAGTTTTGTGGGTTGAAAATCCGTTTTCACCAAGACATTATTGATGTCACATAAAATTAATATTTAGTGCTGTCTTACTTAGTTTCATATTTTACATACCTGTTCTTCTCATAACATCATTAAACATGTGGTTAAGCAAGGTGGTGCCAATGCTGAGTGTTACTCTCATCATTTTTGGCATTTACGATCACCTTGTGACGAGTACTTCACTAGAATCTCAGCAGCTTTTAACCCAATCGAACAGTAATTCATTCTCCTCTGTACAAACTGCTAAACATTTCACATCTGTCAGATCCTTTGCAGTCACATTTATGGCATGTGAAATTTTATCAAAGATCCATACTAGTCACAAAAAGAATTAAGGCTCTAGAAATGAAAGGCGAGGAGGAAAGGTTTTCGCTCCCAGTTTTTAAAATACTCAGTCTATTTTCATAATAAATCTTGTTTTAAAAGGCGATGTAAATTATGCTATTTAGTAATTAGTAAAACGAGCAATTTCCTGAGCAAATGTGAACAGACTGTTTTTATGCAACAAAATCTAGATAGCACCAACCACACCCTAAATAGTAGATCTGCATTTAAAGATCCCCTTACCCTTTCTACTTAATTTCAGCCATGTTAATAAACAAATTATCCAGTTAACATGGGTACCAGGAAAGGGAAGAAATTGCTTTCTATAACCTCAAGAGATCACTGAGACGCACAGTAGTAATCTTTGCCATATGAGACAAGGGTCAGAAATGGAGTAGAGAATGAACCAAAAGTTAGAGAAAATCAACACAAAATCCTTTTGCTTACTGCTTTCATCT